AAAGAGTTGGTTGACCTTCACAAAGAATCTGCTGATGGAAATGAAGACCCCTTACAAGATGATGAAGTTATGATTATTCAGGTAACAAAATGTAAACTCAGTCTATAGATTCAAAAATTACTTGTAAATGAAATGCATTATCATGTTAACTGGTAAGTTATAACATTGCTTAGTCTCCTCTTCCAGCTGTTACGAGGCTCATTCCCAGGTCACTTTAGAACTGGGAACAAACCACGTAATGGCTGCAAGACGAGATTAAACATTGCTGTGCAAATTGGTTCCATGTACTTATGTTATGTATYCCATCATTCCCAGGGAGCTCTAGACATGAGAAGTAAAACAGTMAAGGACAGGTACACACCTCTTGACAAAGTATTCATGTTGAGCATAGATGACAAGCTGGACGATGATACCATGAAAAAGGTACAATAATCAAGGGCAATGTACAATGAGAAAACTTAAACCATCTGACACCATTCAATGGTTGGATTAACCAACAATTTATTGRGTGACTAAAGAGCTTGAACATTAAATATCAAAGGAGAAAATCAAGAAAATGTTTTGATTGTTTGACTAACTTCAAGGTTGCTCCATCCTTTTGATGTCATTCCTTTGTTGGTTTGTCAAACAATTTTGAGTTGGTATGGATAATCTATTTCTCATTTTCTTGGGATTTAGTCTTTGCAGCAAACATTCAAACTGAATATATATTATTATTGTTGTAGATCATTTCAACTGGTCATTCCAGAGTACCAGTTTACAAAGGAAGCAGAGACCATGTYGTTGGCCTKTTATTGATCAAATCATTGATACGCCTTGATCCAGAGGATGCCACACCSATCAAGAATGTAGTCCGGTCCAAGGAAGGCTCGTTGTTGTCAGTTGAGGGWCATGAACCCTTGTTCCAGCTTCTTGATAAATTCCAGGAAGGGAAAAGTATGATCTATGTTTGGCATATATTAACACCCCCCATCCCCCCATGGTTTTCTATAAAATATTATTAAATAAGTTTCTTGACTAATATTGAACTTCATACCTATTAGAAAATGCTGTACTGTCACTCAGTGTTTRTTGAAATTAGTGTTGTGCAGAATCAAAATGTTTTCATTTATATAATAGCTATCTAATATAATTATAGYATTTGAAGTATAGAAACCCTGTTTATTTTCAGGTCACATGAGTTTAGTTTATGGGAAAACATTTGAGGAAAGACCAGAAAAGGTAATCATCCAGTGTTAATTAATCAACAGACAATTGTATGTTGAATTTAATTTAAATTAATTGCCAATCTTCTCCAGTCAGTAAGACAGACAGWCAGGCAGATAGTCAGACAGCCATTTGGTAAGTAAGTAAGCAAGTCTGTTTGTGATTCAAGCATATTTATGATTCAATTTTAAATACATTTTGTTAATGTGTTCATATCCTAATTATTTTAATTGTTTCAGCGTCTTCTTGGTATAATAACACTAGAAGAYGTCATTGAGCAGCTAATTCAGGAGGATATTTGGGATGARACWGATCCTGCTGCATTACGACCTGGGGTTGAAGGCAAGGTTACCCTYGCTCGTGCKAAAATKAGAAGAATGAAGTCTACAGATGTACGTTCACCRCCTCCACAATTACAAAGAACCTTCTCWGAACAGGTATGGGAACAACTGGCCAATTAATACGTCATTCATTTCCTCCAATTGTTTATTGAGTCAGTCTATGAATCCATCAATCCATCCTCCAGTTCCCTATTTTTCCTGTCTGTTTGTTTACTTGCTTCGTTATCATTTGATCATTCTACCCATGCATTAATGTCTCTATTTCCTCAGATATTTATTTGTTTTATAATTATTTATGATGATGACATTCTCAAATCCAGGCTCTTATCCCTTCATTTTAGGGATGAG